TAAAATGTTAGTATTAAGGCAATAAGACAACTATTGGTATTATATGCCTCACTATGGATATCATATTAATAATAAGGCCACTGATCAGCTATTACATTCATTTTAGATGCTATGTATGGATATTACATTAGAATTAAAAGCCACAGGGCAGCTATGATATCAGGTTTTGATACTGTACTATGGATATAATAACAAGCCAGAGGGCAGTACTACATTAGTTTTATATGCTCTAGTATGGATATTATATTAATATTAAAGGCGATTGGACAAATATTATGTCAGTTTTAGATGATATAGTATACATATTAGTTTTAGATGCTATAATACCTGTTTATGATACTAATATCATATTAGTTTTAAAAGCCACTGGATAGATATTATATTAGATACTAAATAAAAATGTTACCTAAATATTAATATATTAGTATCAGATGCTATAGTATGGAAAATAAAAATAAAAGGAAAGGTGCAGCTATCATTTAGTTTTAGATGTTGTAGCAGGATATCAAAGTAATATTAAAGGACACAGGATTAATTATTATATTAGCTTTAGATACTACACAATAAATATTGTATTAGTATTACTTGCCATAGGCCAAGTATTATATTCATTTCAGATACCATGGTATTAATATCAAATTCATGCCAAGACCTCAGTGCAGCTATTGCATTAGTTGTAGATGCTATTTTATGGACATCATATTAGCAAGAAAGCAACATTGAAGCAATTACATTGGTTCTAGAGGCCAAACTGTGGATATCATATTAATGTTAAAGGCCATAAGAAATGTATTTGTATATTATGTTAATAATAAAGGAAACAGGTCAGTGATTTAACTAGCTTTAGTTGCTATAGTGTCTATATCATATTAACATAAAAGTTCACAGGGCAGCTATTATATCAGTATTAGATGCTCTACTAAAGATGCTATATTAATGTTAAAAGCCACAGGACACTCGTATAACAATTTTAATGCTATTGTATAGATATCATGTTGGTATTAAAGATCATAGGGCAGCTATCATATTAGTTTTAGATACTATAACATAGATATTATGTTAAAATAAAGGTCACAGGGAAATTGTTACATTAGCTTTAAAATCTATAATAACCATATTATATAAATTTAAAATGTCACAGGAAAACTATGATATTAATTGTGAATAATATGGTATGAATATCATGTTAGTACTAAAGGCCATGAGACAGCCATTTTATTAGATTATAGGCCATGGTGTACATATTATATTAATATTAAAGGCCACATGGCAGCTACTATGTTAGTTTTATAGGCCAAATAATGTATATTAAATTAATATTTAAATGCTACAGGGCAGTTGTTATTTTAGTTTTATGGCTAAAGTATGAATATTATATTAATATTAGGGTAAGATGGCCACAGGCCATCTTTTATATTGGTTTTAGAGGCTGTAATATGGATATCATATTAATATTAAAGATCACAGAACAGACAATATTTTAGCTATAGAAGCTACAATATGGATACCATAATAGTTTTTAAGGCTACAGGGCAGCTATTTTATTAGTTCTAGCTGCCACAGTATTGATACTGTATTAGTATTAAAGGCAACTGAACAGCCATTATATTCATGTTAGATGCCACACTTTGGATATCATATTAGTATAAAAGGCCACAGCACAGCTCTTATATCTTTATGCTACAATATGAATATCATGTTAATATTAAATACCACAGGGTAGCTATTATATTAAATTTTGATGCTACAATTATAGATATATTAGTTATGAAGGCCACAGAGCACCTATTTTAGCAGTTTTAGATGCTACACTTTGGATACTGGATTAGTATTAAAAGGACATAAGGCAGCTATTATTTCAGTTTTAGAGGCCACCATATGAACATTATATTAATATTAAACCCACAGTGAATCTATCAGTTTTGGCTGTTTTTATATGGATACAGTATCAGCATTAAATGCCATAGACAGTTATCACATGAGTTTTATAGTCTATAATATGAATATCGTATGAATACTAAAGGCCATAAGGCAGCTGTTCTTTTAGTTTTAAATGCTATAGTATTGATATCTTGTTATTATAGGCTACAGGGCAGCTATTATATTAGTTTTATATGCTTTATTAGTATTAAAGATCACATATCAGATTTACATAGATTTAGGTGCTATTTTATGGATGCCATATTAGTACTAAGGGCACAGAATAGGTAGTATTTTAGTTTTAGATACTGTAGTAGGAATGCTATATTGATACTGAGAGTCAGAAGAAACCTATTATATTTGTGTATGGATATAATATTAATATAGAAGGCCACAGGTAAGTTATTCTATTGTTATTAGAAGTCACAACGTGTATGTATGTATGAGTGTATATTCATATATTAGTAATATTAAAGGCCACAAGAAAGCTATTTTATTGGTTTAAAATATTAATAGTATAGAGGTTGGGTTTGTAGCTCAGTGGTAAAGCACTTGCCTAGCACATGTGCGGCACTGCGTTTGATCCTCAGCACCACATAAAAATAAATAAATAACACAAAGGTATTATGTTCATCTACAACTAATAAAAATATTTTAAAATTAAAAATATGTTACAGTATGGATTTTGCATTAATAATAAGGGTCACAGGGCAGATATTATATTAGTGGAAGTTAGTAGTATGGATATTACATTACTGTTAATGGTCACAGGCAGGAATTATATTCATTTCTGATGGTTTATTATGCATATTACATTAGTACACAAAACCAATGGGCAATTATTGTATCTTTTTGAGACACTATAGTATGAACATTTATACTAATATTAGAGGCCCCAGAGTAGATATTATATTAGATGCAGATACAGTTGTATGGAATATAATATATGTAATATATATTATATTCATTATATTCATAATATTCATAATATTATTGCATTAATATTAATGGCCACCAGGCAGGTTTTATATTAATTTTAGATGCTATATATAGATACCAATTAGTAATGAAGCCACTGGGTACCTATTATATTAGTATTTGATTCACTAATATAGATGTCATTAATATTAAAATCCACAGGACATATATTAGTTTAAGATGCTATTTAGTTTAAGATGTTAAATTAATACTAAAGTTCACAGGCCATCTATTATATTAGTTTAAGATGCTATACTAAGGATATTAATTTAGTATTGAAAATTCAGTGTAATTATATTACAGCTTCAGCTCAATAATGAATATCATTTTACCACAAAAGACTACATGGGCTATTACATTAGTTTTCAAAGCTATGACAAAGATTAATATTAATATTAAAGGCCACAGGGCAGCTATTAATTTTGCATGCTATAGTATGGATATTATTGAGTACTAAAGACATAGAATAGCTATTAAATTAATTTTACTTACTACAGAATTTATATTACATCAAATTTAAAGGTCACAGAGCAGCTATTATATTTATTTTAGATGTATTATATAAATATTATATTACTGTTAAAGGCAGCTAAATATGTGTATGGGTATCATATTAGGATCAAAAGCCACAGAGCAATTATAATATTTAGTTTACTATTAGTTTTAAATGCTATAATATGAATATTATATTAGTTCTAAAGGCCTCAGGGCATCTATTTTATCACTCTAAGATGATAAGAGTATGGATATTACATTAGTATTAAATATTTATTAGTATTAAATATTAGCATAAATAACAGCACTACTACTACTGTGTTATTCTTAGATGACATAATATAGATAACATTCTAGTATTAGATTTCACAAGGGATTTATCATATTATTTTAGATGCTATTGTGTGGGTACCATATAAGCACTAAAGGCCATGGTGAGCAATTATATTAGCTTTATATTTTATATTATAAATAACATATGAATACTAAATGCCACAAGGCAGCTTTTATGTTAGTTTTACATGCTGTAGGATGGATATTGTATTAAGATTATAGGCTACAGTAGAGCAATTATATTAGTTTTGGAGGTTGTAGTATAGCTATAATATTAATGTTAAACTGCATAGGTTAGTTATTTTATTAGTTTTAGATGCTACATTATGAATATTAGTGTGAAAAGTCCACAGGGCAGGTATTATTTCAGATTTAGAGGCCAAATGTTGATATTATATTAATAACCACAGGAAGCTATTTTATTACTTTTAGATGCTATAGTACAGAAATTAGTATTAAGGATCAGATGGCAGATATTAGACTTAGATGATCTCTAGTGTAAATATCATGTTAATATTAAATGTTATAGGGCAACTATTATATCAGCTTCAGATGCTATAGTTTGGATATCATATAACTTAAGGCAATGATGCAGATATTTTGTTAATTTTAGATGCTATTTTACAGATACCATATTAGTACTAAAGGCCACTGATAGGGTTTAAGTAGATGGAAACTGTAGTCAGGTAGTATATGGCTGGAGGAGGTGGTTCACTGGGGGCATTCTTTTGAGGTGTATTTGTTCCTGATGAGCAGAGCTCTGTATCTGCTTCCTGTTTGCCACATTCTGAGCTGCTTTCTTCCTCCGCAGCAATGGAGTTGGCCTTCTATGGGCTGAAACCTTGGAAACTGTGAGTGCCAAATAAAATTTTCATTCTCTAAATATGTTCTTGTCAGGACTTTGAGATACAATGGTGGAAAAGCTGACTAAAATAATACTATACTATTTAGAAATAATATGATAGTTGGCTTTTGGCTCTTTGTACTAATATAATATCCATAGTATAACATTTAAATTAGTTTAATACTATTATGACATCAATACTATAGCATCCAAAACTAATATAATACCTGCACTATGTCCTTTAATACTACGATGATATCCATAATATAGCAACTATAACTAATATAACAGCTGCCCTATGGCCTTTAATATTAATATCATATCAATCATGTGGCCTCTAAAAGTGAAATAACAGCTGCCTGTGGCCTTTTAATACTAATACTAATCCGTACTATGGAACCAAAACTGATATAATAACTCCCCTGTGAACTTCAATATGATATCCATATTGTGGCATCTAAAGCTGATATAATAACTAAAATGGGTATTTAATATTAATATTATATTAATATTATACCCATACTGTGGCTCTAAAGCTATTATAATAGCTCCATTATGGCCTTTAATATTAATATAGTATCCATACTATAGACATCTCCATGGATGCCTCCATGACCCCCTTAGTCCAGCATCTTTCAATCCTATAGAACCAGCACCACATGGTTGATGCCAAGGTCCCACCATCTCAAGCAGTAGCCAAGCCTGAGATGATGGTTTCAGCAAAGTCTAGGTGCCTGAGCCTCTAAGCATGGTGAAACAACTTCCTAGGCCTCCATGTGCAAACAGAATGGGGATGGTCTTGCCAATTCCTGAGATGCCCCTCAGGCCAACTTTCTTATTGTCTCTGAGTAAAATATTTAGCATTACTTTTGTGGTTCTTATTTCTTCAACAACCACAACTTCCTGAGGCTAGCCTCAGTTTGCCTCAGAATTTTCTGGCAAAACTGATTTAGATGCCACAATATGGATATCATATTGAAGTTCACAGGGGAGTTATTATATCAGTTTTGGTTCCACTGATTTCAAATCTTTTCCCACTGATTTATGATCCTGATTATCACAGTAAACTTGGCTAAAAGTTGCCAGCAATGTTTGTGTTACTGCTAAATGCCATGCTGCCTTGAAGTTTCCACCACCAGGTTACTTACACTATCATCTTTAAATTCAGCCTCGTAGAAAGTCTCAGAACAGGGCTGGGGATGTGGCTCAAGCAGTAGCACACTCGCCTCGCATGCATGCGGCCCAGGTTCGATCCTCAGCACCACATACCAACAAAGATGTTGTGTCCGCCAAAAACTAAAATAAATATTTAAAACAATTTTTTTAAAAAAAAGAAAGTCTCAGAACAAAGCAAAATATACACAACTTCTTAGCCAGAATTTAACAAGAATGGCCTCTCATCCTATTTCCAATACAGTTCTCTTCTCCTAAAACCTCACGAATCCAGTCTTTACTGTATATACTCCAATCAGCATTACAGACTTCTGGGCTCCCACCAGAACCCCCATTAAACTCCTACAACATTCTAAAGCTTCAGCTTGCATCTCTAAACTTTTCAAAATTTCTTCCCCCAAAAAACAGCTTCCAAGGCTTCTGAACCCCATGTGACCACGTGCTGTTATTTACAGCAATTAACCCACTCTAGGTACCACTTTGTGTTTTAGTTAGTTTTTTCTGCCACTGTGATGAAAAGACCTGACAAGAAAAAATTTAGAGGAGGAGAAGTTTATAGGGTGTTCATAGTTTCAGAGGCCTCAGTCCAAATATGACCAATTGCATTGTTCTTGGCCCAAGGTAAGGCAAAACATGATCATGGCCAAAGGGTATGGAAGAGAAAAGCAGCTCAGGGCATGGCAAATAGGAAGAAGAAAGAGATCTCTGTTCACCAAGGACAAAATATAAACCCCAAAGGCATGTCCCCAGGGACCCATCTCTTCAGCCACACCCTAAGTTAACACCCATCCTAAATTAACAGCCTCTGGTTAAACACCACTTAATCCCAATGTGTGAGTTAATGCACTAATTAGGTTAAGGCTCTCATAAGCAAATCTTTTAACATCTCAACTTTCTTCCACTGTCTTATTCAAGGGATTTTTTGGAATTTCATATCTAAACCATAACATGTATAGATTTGATATTAATATGAAAGGCCAAAGCTTAGCCATTATATTACTTTTAGGTGCTCTAGTAATGGATATCATATTAAAGACAACAGGACAGCATAGATGTTATTATGGAGACTATATTAGTATTAAAGGTCACAGAGCAGATATTGTATCAGTTTTAGATAACAGTATGCCTATTATATGAGTGTTAAAGGCCACACTACAGATAATATATTAATATAAGATGCCATAGTATGAATAACATATTAATATTAATTGCCACATGGCAACTATCATATTACATTTAATGCTGTAGTATGGACATCATATTAGTATTGAAGGTCAGGGAACCTACTGTGTCACTTTTAGATTCTCTAGTATGGTCATCATAAAGACAATAAGGCAACTATTATATTAATTTTAGAGCCCACAGAGTGAATATAACAAACACTTAAATGCCACAGGGAAGCTATTATATTACTTTTAGATGCTATAGTATGATTATCATATTAGTATTAAAAGCCACAGGGCAGCTACTGTATCAGTTTTAGGTGCTATATATTGGTATCACATTAGTATTAGTTTTAAATGCTCAAATATGGATATTATATTAATATTGGAGGCCATAGGAAAACTGTTGTGGAAGTTTTAGATGATATTTAATAAGAATATCATATTAGTATTAAAGACCACAGCTCAGCTATTTTATTAGTTTTAGATGCAATAGCATGGATATTTAATTAATATTCAAAGCCACATAGAAGCTATTGTATCAATTTTAGAACAAATAGCGTGGATACTGTATTAGTATCAAAGGCCACATGGAGCTATTATATTAATAATTTATATTAGTCTTGAAGCCAAAGTTCAACTATTATAATAGTTTAAGATGTTATGTTATTAATATTACCTTAATTCAAAGGCCACTGGGCAGCTCTTATGTTAGTTTTAGATGTTATACAATGGAAATATATACTAGTAAGAAAGCCTGTAGTGCAGCTCTTTGCAGCTCTTATATTACTGTTGGATGCTACACTACAGAAATTATATTAATATTAAAGGCCACAGAGCAGGTATTATACCAATTTTAGATGCAATAGTATGAATATTATCATAATTAAAAAACCAAAAAGTAGATATTATATTAGTTTTAGATGCTATATTTAGATACATATAAGTATAAAATGCCACAGGGCAGCTAATATATTAGTATAAGATGCTACAGTATGGATATTACATCAATGTTAAAAGCCACTGGACAGTTATATTGATTTTGGATACTATAGTATGGATATCATGTTATTGTTAAAGTATTATAGTGTGGCTATCATATAATTGTAAATTGATTATATTATTTTAATTTTAGATACTATAATATGTATATTAACATAATATCCACAAGGCAGATATTAGTTTTACATGGTATATTATGGGAAAAAGTATAGGTCACAAAACATCTATTTTATCAGTTTTTGAAACTATAGTATGGATGTTATATTAATATTAAAGGCCACAGCATAGCTATTATATCAAATTTACATGTTATATTAAGTTTTAAATACTATATTATGAACATTATATTAGTATTAAAGTCCACAAAGCAGATATTATATTAGTTTTAGATGCTATTGTATGGATATTACATTCATATTTAAGGCCACAGGACAGATTATATTTGCTTTAGAACTCACAGTATGGATATAGTTGAATGCAAAGTTCAGCTATTGTATTAGTGTTACATGCCACAGGCCAAGTGTGATATTCATTTCAGATGCCATGGTATTGATATCACATTCAGGTCAAGGCCTCAGTGCAGCTATTGCATTAGTTGTAGATGCTATCTTATGGGCATAATATTAGCATGAAAGCAACATTGAAGCAATTACATTGGTTCTGGAAGTCACACTGTGGATATCATATTAATGTTAAAGGCCACAGAAAATGTATTATATTAGTTTTACAGGCCACAGTTTGGATATTATGTTAATAATAAAGGAAACAGGTCAGTGATTGAATCAGTTATAGCTGCAGTAGTATCTACATATTATTAACACTAAAGTTCACAGGGCAGCTATTAAATGAATATTAGATGCTCTACTAAAGATGTTATATTAATGTTAAAAGCCATAGGGCACTAATATATCAATTTTCAATGCTATTGTATAGATATATGTTAGTATTAAAGATCATGGAGCAGCTCTTCTATTAGTCTTAGATTTTATAGTATGGATATTGTATTAAAATTAAAGGTCTCAGGGTACCTGTTACATTAATTTTAAAATCTGTAATATCTATATTATATAAATTATAAATGTTAGAAGAAATCTATTATATTGTTATCAGATACTATAGTATGAACATTATAGATTATGAATATTATATTAATATAAAAAGCCCATAGCAGCTATTATATTAGTTTTAGATTATATAATATGGATATTACATTGGTATGAAAGGCCATAGTTTATTAGTTTTATTTTATTAGTTTTAGAATCTATAGTATGGATAATATATTAACATAATCACCAGAGGGTAGCTATTGTATTAGTTTTGAATATAATACTGATCACAAGTTCAAGACCAGCCTCAACAACTGAGTGAGGTCCTAGCAACTTAGTGAGACCCTGTCTCAATTTTTGTTTTTAAAAAGGGGATGAGGTGGGGCTGCTCAGTGGCAGAGCACTTTCCTTGTAAGTGTGAGGCACTGGGTTTGATGCTAGCACCACATAAAAACAAACAAAGGCATTGAGTCTATATACAATTTAAAAAATTTTTTTTAAATGGTGGCGGGTGGTGGCTGGGGATGTAGCTCAGAAGTGCTTTGGGTTAAATTGCCAATACCAAAAAAAAATGACTGGACAACTATTATATCAGTTTTAGAAGCTATAGTTGGGTATCATAATGGTATTAAAGGTTACTGGGTAGTTATTATATTAGTGATATATTCTATACTATGAGTATCATACTAGCATTAAACATCATCATGTAGCTATTTTATTATTTTCAGATGCTATGGTATGGATAATATATTAGTATTAAAGGCCACAGGACAGAACTTATGCCAGTTTTAGATGCTATATGTGGATATCACATTAGAACCAAAAGCCACAGAGCAGCTATTATAACAGTTTTCAATGCAATGTTATGTTTAATATATAATACAAAAGGCCACAGAGCAGCTATATCAGTTTTTGATACTATAGGATGGATGTAATAATAGTGTTAAACACAACAGGGCAGCTATTATGTTACTGTTAGATGCTGCAATATAGATATCATATTAGCTATGAAGCCACAGAGCAAATACTATATCAGTTTTATTTTAATTTTTTTGGTATCAGAGATTAAACTCAGGAGAACTTGACCACTGAGCTACATCCCCGACCTTATTTTATATTTTATTTAGAGACAGCGTCTCCCTGAGTTGCTTAGCACCTCACTTTTGCTGAGACTAGCTTTAAACTCATGATCCTCTTGTCTCAGCCTCCAGAGTCACTGGGATTACAGGTGTGTACCACTACACCTGGCCTATATCAGTTTTAGGTGCTATATTATGGATATCATATTATTATCAGAGGCCACGGAGCAGTTGTCATATCAATTTTAAATGCTATATTAGTCTTAAAGGACAGAGGGCAGCCACTGTATCAGTTTTTTATGCTCTAGTATAGATATCATATCAGTACTGAAGACCATGGAGCAGGAATTATATCACTTTTAGATATAGCAGTATGGATATTGCATTAGTATTATATTATTAACTTGAAATGCCCTTATTTTACTTTATTAATTAACAGATATCATTTTATTATAAAAGGCTACAGTGCAGCTATTTTAATAGTTTTGGAAGCTAGAGCATGAATATTATATTAACATTAAAGGCCAAAGGGAAGTTAGTATATTAATTTTACATGTGCTGTTCTATGGGTATCATAATAATATTAAAATCGCAGGGCAGTTATTAGCTTAAGATGCAATAGGATGGATATTACATCAATATTAAAAGCTACAGGGCATCCATTATATTTCTTTCAGATGTTATAGTATAGATGTTATATTAGTATTAAAGGTCACAGGGAAGCTAAGTATTAGTTTTAGAGTTTATACTATGGATATAGTGTTGGTATTAAAGACAATAGGGCAACTGTTATATTATTTATAATGATAAAAGTATGGATACTACATTAGAACTATAGGCCACAGGGCTGCCATTTTATTAGTTTTAAATGCTATAGTATGGATATCATAAACGAATTGAAGGTCACAGTGCAGGTATTGCATTCATTTTAGATGCTGTAGTGTAGATTTTATATAGTATTAAAAGGCCACAGGGAAATTATTATTTCAGTTTTAGAAGTCACCGTGTTGATATTATTAAAGGCTATAGGGCAGCTAGTATATTAGCATTAGATGCTATATGTGGATATTGTATTAATATGAAAGACCACAGGAGAGCTATAATACTACCTTTAGAGGCCACAGTATAGTTATAATACTAATAATAGTGTCACAGGCAGCTCCTATAGTACTTAGTATAGATGCTGTAGTATACACACCATATTAGTATTAAAGCCCAGCCAGGCAGTGGCACATGCCTATAATCCCAGTGAGTTAGGAAGCTGAGGCAGGAGGATTACAAGTTCAAGACCAGTTTCAGCAACTTAGTGAGTCCTCCAAGTAATTTATCAAGATCCTGTGTCAAAATAAATTTAAAGAATTTTTAAAAGGCTGGAGATGGGGTTAAATGCCCCTAATTTCAATTCCTAGTACCAAAAAAATGTACTAAAGTTATTATATTAGTTCTATATGCTATACTATATACATCTTATTAGTATTAAGCTATTATATTCATTTTAGATACTAGTTTGGATATCATATTACTATGAAATGCCAGAACTATAGGCATTTAGTTAAATTAATTTTAACTTTAGATGCTATAGTATGGATATCATAATAGTATCAAAGTCCACAGGGCAGCTATTATATTACTTTTAGAGGACATAGTATAGAGATTTTATTAAATTTAAGGCTAAAGGCCATAGGGATGATATTATATCCATTTTAAATGCTATATATTATAGATATCATATTATATGGATATCATATTAAAGGCCACAGAATAGCTATTATATCAATTTAAGATGCTATAATAAGAATGTCATATTGGTATTAAAGGATACAGGGCAGCTATTATATAATTTTTTGGAGGCAATCATATGGGTACTACATTAGTGGCCACAGGGTAGATATTATATTAGCTTGAGATGCTATAACATGGATATTAATTTTGTATAAAAGACTACAGGGTAGCTATTATATTAGTTTTAGATGCTATCGTTTGGATATATTATTAACATTAGAGGTTACAGGGAAGTTATTATATTAGTAATATTATTAAACCCTCAGGACAGTTATTATATTAGTTGTTGTACTTACTACAGTGTAGATATTACTTCAATATTAAAGCCACAGATCAGCTATTATATTAATGTAGATGCTGTAGTATGGATATCATACTAATATGAAAGGCTACAGTAGAGCTTTATTATCCTATTCTGCAGCCATGTAAGCATATATTAATACTAAATGCCACAAGGAAGTTTTTACAGTACTGTAAGATGCTACAGTAAACATACTACATTAGTATTAAGGCCAAAGTTTAGTTGTTATATTAGTTTTAAGTACTATATTATTTTTAGATAGTATTCTGTATCGTAATAGTATTGGCAGCTATTATATCAGATTTAAATGCTACATTACAGAGAATTTATTAATATTAATTGCCATAGGGCAGCTATCTTATCAGTTTTAGATGCCAAAACAAATAATCACATTAGTACTAATGGTTGCAGGTCAGCTATTATATTAGTATTAAGACCACAGGGGAGATATTATATCCATTTTAGATGATAGAGTATGTATATCTTATTTGTATTCAAGGCTACAGGGCAGCTATTATATCAGTTTTAGATGCTACACTAAGCAGTTTTAGATGTTCTACTAAATTGATATCATATCAGTATTAAAGGCATCAGGGCAACTATTTGCTTTAGGTGCTACAGCATGTATATTATTTAGTATTAAGACCACAGTACAGACATTATATTAATTCAGATGCTACAGTATGATATTATATTAATATTAAAGGTCACAGGGCAACTATGTTATCAGTTTAACATGATATGATATGAATATCATATTAGTATTTTATATATATTATATCATATTATTAAAGGCCACAGGGCAGCTCTTATATTAGCTTTGGATACTATAGAATGAATATTTTGTTATTTTAAAAGATCTCGGGGAAGACATTATATCAGTTTTAGATGTTCTAGCATGGATATCATAAATTAGTATTAAATGCTCAGGTCAACAATTATGTCACTTTTAGATGTTTAAGTACGCATAACATGTTAGTATTAAAGTCAACATGGCAATTGCTATATTAATTTCAATAGTATAGCATGGATATCATTAGTTTAATGGCTACAAAGCAGATATTTTACAAGCTTAATGTACTATAGTATAAATTTCATGCTAATATTAAAGGCCATAGAGTACCTGTTTACCAGTTTTAGATTCTATATTATGTATATTAAATATTAAAATCCACCAGAGAGTTATTATATTGGTTTCGCAAGCTGTAGAAAAGGTGTCTCATTCATATTAAAGGTCATAGGACATCTCTTACATTGGTTTTAGAGGTCATAATATGTATGTCATATTAGTATTAAAAGCTACAGGGGAGCTGTTATACTAGTTTTAGATGCCATAGTATGAATATCACATTAGATTTAAAGGCCACAGCCCAGCTACTATATTCATTTTAGGTACTATAGTTTAGATATCATAGTAGTATTAAAGGCCTCTAATGGCTCTGATATTTGTTTTTGATGCTATAATATGAAAATCATATTAATAGTAAATTCCACAGAGCAGCTATTTTTTCAGTTTTCCATGCAATATTATGGTGATCATATCAGTAACAATGGCCACAGGACAGATTTAGAGGTCATGATATGGATGACATTTTAATAGTGAAGCCTATAAGGAAAGTATTGTATTAGTTTTACATGCTATCACAAAGTTATTATATTAATACTAAAGGCAGAGGAAAGCCATAGGATGGATATAATATTAGTATTGGAAGGCCTCAGGACAGTTTTTATATTAATTTCAGGGGCTGGTTTCTTACCCAAGAGCATCTGCTAACTTCAAACTCATTTCCAGCCTCCTAGGAACCAGAAGTAGCCTTCATCAGACCCTCTAGGTATGTCCTGCCTCATCTCAGACTCCAAACATAGCTTCTTCTCTGCCCAGAATGGCCACAGTCCAATCTGACCAGTCATCCATGCAGGCCAGAACAGAAATTGTCCTTTCCAGATCAGGCAAAGGAGGTGTCTGGAGACTGTTTGCATCATTCAGTCTTACCTATATCCCAGTAAAAGAGCAGATGGAGGCCAACTCTGCTGGTCCACTGGAGCTACTAGGGCCCCAACTGGACAAATGAGGAAACCCAGTGCTCTTGTGGCAAGGGTTTTTATACTTGTATACTTGGCTTAAAGTTGCACAGGACTCTGAACATGGTGGGTATTTTGCCAGGTCCAGAGCCTCTTGGGACATTTGGAGATTAACCTATGCAGATGGAAGTCAGTCTCCACTCCTTTCTTTGTTTCTCTCATTTGTGCTGCTGCTATTCATGTCAGCAAGAAAAAAAGAAACTCAGCTTTTCCTTCTCTATTTCTTTCTTGACTTTCCATTCCTTTCAGCCTTCTTTTTCTCCTCAGGAACCTGTGTTAAATCTAGCTAGGGTAGAATATGTGCTCATGTAACCCATAAGGCTCAGAGTCTAGAATCACTGGTACCACAAGCTTCCACGCCTATTTATAATTTTGGAAGTTCTGAATTATCTTCTAATTTGTTTCTCCAGATTCCACACAGAATTTATCTACACAGATTTTATATGTAGCCTCTTGTAGTTAACTTCTCAGCCAGAAGAAACATTTTATATGTTAGTCATTTCCCCTAAGTGTTTTGGTTTTACTTGATATTGTTTTTTGAGTTGTCTTTCACTTACTTCTCCTTTCTTCTCTCTTCTACTCTCTCTTTCCTTATATATCTCTTTCATTATGAATAAATGCAGCAAGAAAGTGTAAAACCTGATTTTTCTTTTATTTCTTCCATGACTCTACATTCCTCATAAACCCTCTTTTTCTCCATGGTGTCCTAGATGTGCTTTCAGAGTCTGGCTGATACACTTGCATCCTCATCAAACCTCACCCTTCACCTCTGAAATCGCTGGTACCTCAGGCTACCTTACCTACCATTTCTGATTTGGAAGATCTGAATTATCTTCTACCTTGTTCCTCCTGATTCTTCATGAAAATTTCTTTGAAGATTTGTCTTGTGTCACTTGAACACATTTTTATATTCCTTTTGACATCAGTTGTAGTTAACTTCTGAGGTAGAAAAACAATTTTGTAGGTTATAATGTCATATAAACATTTTTATTTAGCTTGATTTTGTTCTTTGCTTGCCATTCATTCATCATTCATCCACTCATGTACACTGCAGTTCCTGGAATCCAACCCAGGCATTACTTATTCCAGAGAAAGCCTCCACCACTAAGCTCCATGCACAGCCTTGGAAGGTGAGCAATTGACATTATGGAAGACTTATTTTCCCCAATACCACTAAGACCAGGTGAGACAGCCTGAGGCACACAGAATTCATTTAGCTAGCCTCAAGAAAAAGCCCAGATTTCCTGTGGTACCTGTGTGTGTTTATTTCATGTGTAACACAAAGGATACCTCTGACTAGTCACCAGGGAAGCTGAGGCTGGAGAATGGGAGGATGGCATGTTGCAGATGATCCTGGGAAACCTCATGAGACCATGTCTCATAAAAAGAACTCATTATGGCATGGTGACACTCAGTAACCCTGCAAACATGGCACTGAAAGTGGCATGGAGCACTCCAACTGAAGCCTGCAGCACTCTGCCCACTGTGCCCTGGCAGCTTTGCATGGGATCCACTCTGGTTTTGGTGTATAAATTAACACAGAAACATTAGTAGATAATAGAAGAAAATTATATTGAAACAATGGGAATCAGTACTTTTGCATAGGAAGCTCTGGGAAATGTTGTTTACTGTAGTCTCCTGAAGTTGAGACAAAATTTAAAAAACAAGATGAATTTGGTTGTTTGGAAAGTGTGAAAGCTGCCTGTGAACTCTATTCTCTTCTATCAGAAAAAGTAACTGAAATTAATGAGGCACTTTGCAGAAAATCCAGTGCTTGTGATAAACCCTGTTATGAAGATGGTTGGTTGAGGAAGATGAAACTGAGAGAAGAAGAATTTGAGAAGTATGTGAAATCTGTTGGGGCATAAAAAATAGCACTCTAAGTACACTCATTCAACACAGCTGTCTTAAGTAAATGGTGATAGGAAGACTTACAAGACATTACTTTCAATACTGCTACTGGAGAAAGATACCCCTTAACTTTCCAGAAATTACAGATAAACACAATATGCATTATTTTTACAATTCCTTATGACTTTTAGAGTAAGTTTTAGGCTCTGGTGAAATTATCTGTGGATATTAACTATTTTTAAAAATTATGTAATTCAAGGAGTCTTGATATAAGCCTTATGTAATATTGTTATTTGCTTACAACCATCCCTGCATTGGGGTCAATAGACTTAATGATCTTCCCACCGGAAAAAACTAGGAGTGGAGGAAAGTGTTTATCATGCAGTGTCAGAAGAAAAATACTGTCTTAATTGTATAATATACTGTATTTGCTGGTGTTATGTTTATACACTAAAAGAACAGCTTTGCAGCAAGAAACAAAGTATTCAACTTAAAAAAAAAAAAAGCAAAAAGAGTGGGGCCGTGAGATGGCATGCCCCTGGTTTCCATCCTCATATCTTTTCTTTAGTTATCAATACTGTGTTGCCTTTCTTAAAGAGAGAAATCTGATTTTTTTCTTCTCTGTTTCTTCCATAACTCTCAATTCCTCTCAGTCCTTCTTTTCTCCAGTGTCCCAGCTGTGTTCCCCGAGGATGGGCCAGAACATCTGCACTCAGGTCAAACTCCAGCCTAGGCTTCTGGATTCGTGGGTATCAGAGGCTGCCATATGTACTTGTTTCTGATTTGGAAGGTTAAATTAACTTCTAAGTTGTTCCTCCTGAGCACATAAGAACTTTCTAGTTAAAGACTAGACTGTCCTCTTGATAGCATTTTGATGTTTCTTTTGCACAAACCATAGTAAACATCTCCGCTTGAAAACAATTTTTTTTTATTACTAGCATCCCATACATGTTTTTGTTTTGACTGATTTTGTTTCTATGGTTTCCATTTGTTCCTTCATTCATTCACTTATTTATTTCACAGTTCTGGGAATTCAATCTCAGGCATCACACACTCCAGGGAAAGCCTCCAGCACTCAGCTCCATCCCAACCCTGGGGAGTGTGCAGTTCAAGGTACAGAAGGCTTTGGGTTTCCCAGAAACTCTAATCCCAGAAAATACAGGCTGAGGAACAAAAAATTTGTTTTTCTTCTTTAAACAGGAATCACAGATTTCTTTGACATCCACGTTCATTTTTAAGAAACTTCCCTGTGACTAGGGTGGCTGAGATGGGAGATTATTATCCTGGACAGCCTCATGAAACCCTGTCTCAAAATGAAACATTAAAGAGGCTGGGACTGCAGGTACTGTGTACCTGGGTTCACTCCTTAGCTTCATAAAAAATAAAAGTATTTTGTGCTATTTCTCTCTCTTTTATTTCCCTGTTTAATGCTGTATTTATTCCAGGAAGAAAGAGAAATGCCTTTTTCTTCTCTGTCCATGATTTTCTGCTCCTTTCTCTCCTTTTTCTCCCCAGTTTCTCTACTGTGTTGGATGATCATAGGTCTATGCTTCTGCACTCACATGACCCCCAACCTTAGTTTCTGGAAAAGCTGATGCACAGGCTGAAGTTGCTAGCACCACAGGCTACCACACAGACATTTCTTCTGGCACCAACTTCAGTTAAATTCTCCACTACCAAAAAATTTTGTAGGTAAATCCCATGCCATTTTTTTTTTTGCCTTATATTGTTTTCTGGTTGTTATTCATACATCCACTAATTTATACTGCAGTCCTGAAAATCCATTCCTAGGCATCATAAATACGAGGGAATAGTTCTGTCACTGAGCTCCATCCGCAGTCATTGGAGTTTTGCACCTCAAGGTAGAGAAGACTCCATGTTCCCCAACAATGTAAAGCTTCCAGGGTGAAAATCAGCATGAGAGATCCTCAACTTTTCCTTCATGATATCTTCCATGACTTTCCATTCTTCTCAGATTTTCCTTTTGTCCTCAAACTCCTGGCTGTGTTCCTCTGAGCTAATCTTCTACACCTTTATTCATGCACTCTCCCAGTTCAACTTTGTGCTGATACCACAAGCTCCTCCTCATGCCTGATTCTGATTATTAACAGATTATCTTCTAATTTTGACTTTGATATTTCTTTTGATAACCAACCACAGTTAACTTCTCTGCTAGGAAAAAAAAATATTGCCGGTTACAAGCATCCCATAAATGTTTTTGTTTTGCCTTATTATTTTTTTCTGTTATTTTTTGGTTGCCATTCATTTACTCATTTTCTGCAGTCTGGCTGGGCACAAATCACCAGCCACTTGAAGATTCAAGCAGGAACAAACTTTATTTTTAGAACTCATGCTGCACACCGCCCATGTGAACTCTCTAGGAACTCCTCCAGAGCTCCACCAGAACTTTGGGAACTTCGGGAGCACTCAACCTGTGAACTCCACCCACACGAACTCTCTAGGAACTCTGCCAGAGCCCAACCAGAACTCAACTAACCCACTCGGACTCTCTAGGAACTCCGCCAGAGCTCAAAAATAGCGGGCACTCGAGGCAGCAGGAACTGCTCCTTCTGGCAAAATGCCAGGCACTATCTTGACCTGGCATGGCTCTCAACACTCATTTATATTGCACCTTGGGAATCCAATCCCAGGCATGACACTTTCCAAAGATAGTCACTACCCCTGAGCCCTCTTCCAATTCCTGGGAAATTAGCATTTTAAGTTACGCAGTACTCAATGTTTCCCTACAGAGATAAGCTGATGATAGACAACCAGACGCATACTGAATTTATTTAACTTAAAGATGAAACCCAGATTTCTTTGATACCTACATTAGTAATTAAAGAAATGGCCCAGTGACTAAAGAGGCTGAGGCTGGAGAATATGGAGATGGCATGTTCAAAGTGATCCTGGGAAGCAATGCCAGAACCCATCTCAAAATTAAAAGAGGCAAGGACTGTGAAGTATCATGCATCTATGTTTAATCATCAGATACGAAATAAATCATTTCATTCTCCTTTTTCTTATTTCTCTCCTTTGTGCTGCTTTTATTTTCTGGAGAAACTCAACTTTTCTCTGTTCCTTCTATGACTTTCCATTCCTCTCCTCATGGTCCTGACTTTGTTCACTCAGGGCTGCCTAGTATACCTATACTTGTGTGAACCTATAGCCTCTTCTTCTGGAATCATTGTAACATAGGCTACCACAACTATCCATTTTTACTTTTGGAGTGTCAGAATCATGCACAAAATTTATCTTCAAAGATTTAACTTGTGTCCACTTGAGCACCTTGTGATATTTCTTCTGACATCAAAATGTTAAAATCTCCATTAGAAAAAAAAAGTTCATATGTTGCTACCATACCATAAACATTTTTTTTTGGCCTGACTTTATTTTTGGTTGCCTTCATTCACTCACACATTTACATTACATTTCTCAGAATCATGTCCCAGGCAACACACATGCCAGGTAATGTTCTAACACTGATCTCCATTCCTAGCCCTGGAGGTGAGCCAAGGAAAGACAGCATGAGGCACACAGAATTTATCTTGGTTAAAGAGGGAGCCCAGGTTCCTTTGCTACCTATGCACAGTATAAAATAAACTCTGCTCAGTGACAGGGATGTTAAGGATGGAGAATGGGAGCATGCTATGTGCATTGTGATTTGGGGCAACCTTGTGAACATTTCATGAAAATATTCCAGGCAAAAGGCAACACAAAAAGATAGGTTCTACTTTTCCTTCTCTGTTTCTTCCATGAATTTTCAATCCTCTGTCTATTTTTATCCATGGAGTCCCTGTTGTGTCCCCAAGCTAGCCTTCTACACATATACTCCAGAGGTCCTCAGCAACAGCTCCTGAAACCACTGGAACAACATGCTATTATACAATTTAATTTCTAATTGCAGAAGGTCTGATTTTCTTCTAATTTGTTTTTCTTAACCATAAATGATATTTCTTTTCAAAATTTGATTTCTGTCATCTTAATCACCTTTTGATATTTATTCTGACACCATTATTTTTTTAAAAAAATTTAATTTGTATATGACAGCAGAATTGATTGCTATTCTTATTACACATATAGAGCAT